GAGCAGGTTGAGGGTCTGAGCAGGCCGAGACAGTCTCCCAGGTCTAGATATATCGTAGCTACGGACTTGAGTCACATGTGACATGTCACACCTCCCGCCGACTTTGATCGAATAGAAAGTGCCGAGAGTTGCAAGTACAAAATCGTGTCATGTTACGGGAATCGAAACCGTCTATCGAGAAAGCCTTGTCGTATTGGACGGCTCAAGCTGGACGTCGCAATGAGAGTTTGTCAAGGTGGCGGGAGAAATTTGAACCCTGCACGTACACATCGAACTCGAGACGCAAAACGAGTCTTCTTCCTCTTGGAAGTTGGAGGGTGGCGCTGTGGTAGGTATTCTTAGGAATTCCTACATCCTGTGTCCGAAGATCCTACTGCAGCAACTGCATGTGCAGGTTCTGAGCAGTCGAGCAGGGACATTCAGCATTTGCGGATTATTGGGCTTGGCTATATTCCAGAATATAAAACACAACCTAGGTACACGCAGTGTTTCGTGCTGTGCCAAAAGTTTCACGACAAGCACAAGCTCTGATCGTGAGCGATGGCTCCAGCGTCCGCCAATGTTCGACGAGCAGCAATAGGGGCACGGAAGAAGATTGAAAACTTTCCAACGGTGTGTTTCTCATCCATCAATCCTGCTGACAGATTAGCAGCTTTGCATCAAATATCTCCAAGTATCTGAACCCAGCACTCTGATGGGAGCTCTGTTGAAGAGAGGACTTGAACAGGAACCAAGTAGAGAATCCGTTCAAGTACAAAGCTCTGCTGCTTGTTCAGTGTTGCCAAAGAGTCCGCTAATGTTCTTGCCCTGGTCCTGTTTGGCAGGAGCTGGACCTGACCATGCAGTTTGTCAAGTGGACTGCAGAGAGTCTCGAAGCTGTACATGATGAAGAGAAGGTGAAGCAGCCTTCCAAGCACCTCCTAGATTCTCCACTCTGTCTTATGGTGGGAAAAATATCAAATGCAGTGCACAGTGCGCCGTCCCTGTTAAAACTTATATCTTTGGCTTGTTGGCATTAAACTTGGCAGTAAATACCGTAGCACATGACTGCAGCAGAGAACCGTCTTTTGGAAGGCAGTCAAAACGTTTGACTGTGTTGCCACAGGTTGCCGCCCTTCGCGAAGCTTCTCGCGAGATGGCTGGCCTTCAAGAGAGTCTGAGGTTGCACGTGGCTGCGCTCAGCGAAGTGGAGATAGGGAGGCTGGCCCCCAATGAGGCGTGAACCATTGTTCCTATTTGTCATGTCCGAGTTCCTTATTGTCAACGTCAACACGAAGGCTTCTTCTGAAGCTTTCTTGTCTTGCTGTATATCTGTTCTTGCTCATCACGTCATCTATTGTTTCCCCGAACCCCGAATTACCCAGCATCTGAGGCCCTGACTAGCGCGACCATGCTGGCAATCACAGGGGCAGACTTTTGCTGAGGTGCTACACTCACGGACAATGGAGCTGGCGGCACAAGATCCAAGAACCCCTGAGGACTACGAGGGTTTCAAGGCCTTCAATAAGGCTGTCTGGGTGAGGGATCCCCTCACCTTTTCTGCCGTTTGGCTAAGAAGGCGGTCGGCACAATTTTGAGATGCCGATCCTTGACAAGAACCGTTGAGATTTCTGATACTGTCAAGTTGACAAATATACTTTCAGTTATGGTGTCTGCCAGTGCATGCTTGTTGAACTCATGTCTGCAGGTGATCTGCATATTTAGTGAGAGTGAATAGATGTTGCAGCAAGAGCGAACGGTAAGTTTGCGTTTGTCGTTCCGGGTATGAACTATATGTGCAACTTTGGATTTGCCTTTCCAGGACGTCAACCACAAGGGTGAGCTGATGCCTGGGGAAGAGGAGGAGGACATCGTCATGACCTCTAAGGACCTGGTGGCAAACGCCCATTGTCCACTGAGTATGAAAGCGGTGGAGGAGTTGGACGAGCCAGTTTGCGCGTAAGCCCCCTCTTGACCATGTGCATATGTCAGGCCTTTGTGAGATGATCACACAGTGTTTCTCCTGACTTTTTCCATAGATGTCTGTTCAAATGTGTGTGGCACTTCCGAAACGACAGATCTCTGGAAGCTTTTGATGTAAGAGAGGGGGACATCCAAGGTCATCTGAAGCCGTTGCACCAATCCTTGCAGAAGGGATTGCCGGCACATTTACGAGGCCATGAATGCGCGAGACTACTTTGGACAGGGCCTGAGAAGCTGTGCAGTGGCTGGTAAGTATCCATCTGTTGCCTCGTTGGCTTTTGCAAACCATTCAAAATGGCATCTCCAACAACTAGAGTGGTTGATGGACGTAGTGAGATTGGTTCTGGCGAAGCATGTTGTTCAGTAGGAATCCCTGTTTTAGTGAAGACGATTTGAGCAGGCTCTGCTTTATTGCAGGTTGCAACAAGCAGGTGAATGTGAGCGTCCTCGTAAGTGACTCACGGTTGGTCCGAGATTTGCAAGAGCTTAAGCGGAACAAGAGGGGGGGAAGACACACCCAGCATGCAGAAGATTATACTGCCCTGGACGATGAAGACTGACCGCAAACAGATGAATGATGGTCGAGTTGGCGTCACCAAAAAGCAGAAAGGGTCTGAATTTCCGTCTCAATATTTGAGTTGATTCATATAACATAAACAAGACCAAAATTACCTTCGTGGGCAACGACGTTATTGCACATTTGTGTGATATTGAGACAGCGCCCAAGATATGATGCAGTTCACTTCGAGCAAAAAGTTCGATTGCATTCGACTTGTGATGATGTTTGATGCACTGCTTTGGCATGCAGCTGGCAGCTTTTGAAATTACCTGCGGCACCTCGAAGCATGGATGAATCAGCACACACGTGCCTGCCTAACCGACATGTGCATGTGGTCGGTAGCGCTACATGTTGCACCCGTCTACGACAATTATTCCTGGATCAGTTCCCCCATGTGCGCACGTACTAATATGAGGTAGCTAGCTTGAAGTATGACTAACCAGTCGCGTGCCTCCTGCCTTCTTGATCTTTTGACATGCTAGGTGGTTATAATTTTGTTTTGAAGAATTTGTCAGTGACCGCTGCCAGCTAGGGGGTGCAGGTTATCATTGCAGCTGCATATGCAGATGCATTTGAAAGCAGAACTGCCTAATATAACCCATGTTCACATGCATGCAATTAAAAACTTTATAAGCCCGCGAGGCACCCTTGTCAACGACTGCACGTAGCTTGTCGAACTGCCTTTGCGGGCGCAGTCGATCAGGGTACTTCCATGTACCCACGTCCAGTCCAATCGACCTCGTGAATATTTTACAGGGACTTCAATTTTATATATGTGTATTGACTGTTTTGACAGATTCTAAAAAGGGTTGAGCTCTAGCTATAGTCTGCGGTTAATCCCAGCAGACTGGCAGATTGCATCGATAATGGGCACGCTTTTGAGCGGTTCTGAGCGTTTCCTTTGAAGACTGGGGTCCTCCAAGAAACACGACCCAGTCGCTTTCAGCGAACTAACAATGACCCCAAAGCTAGGCTGCTGAAAGAATCAATGTTGCAGGTTATAGCTATAGACGACGTTCCCAAAGACATCGTAGAACTCAAGGTCGACGTCTTTTTGACTGACCGACAACGACAGGAAACCCTGCCCCCTGTGAGCAAACCGCGCAGTTTCCTTGAAATCCGGATCTTCGACGTGCAGTGACCGGTAGGACCTCGAACCGGCGCCGCTTGTGAAGCAGTGCACGTTGCTGCGAGCAGAGAGTACGAGCCTTAGTCGTGATGCTGAGCGCTGCCTTGAGAACCCGCGTTTGTGGCAGCACAAAAGAATCGGGGGAAGCGTGAAGTGCACAGGTTTGGCAGCGAAAAACAAACAGTAAGGCGATCTTGATGCCCGGTCACAGAAGGGTGCTTCAGAGGTGCAAGGAAGGAGCCCTGCCGTTCAGTATGCTCGACCCAGCAATCTTCAAACCTTTCCGTGCTCCCATTTTGAGCCAGGAGGCCCACGGCTCGCCTTTATCTTGAGACACAGCGGTGAACTGCTTTCAGAGGAGGTTTTCTTGCGTCTGTCATCGATCGCATCCAAGTCGCACCCCGAGCTTGCGAAGCGTTCACGGGCTGAGACACCCCCGCTTTTGCACGGGACGAAACGGAATGGGACGGAATCAAACGGACGGGAATAAACGATGGACTTGGATGGAGGCATGGAAAGTTGCACCAGCCAGGAAGGATTGAAGCGATTCTGACGTACGACCAAGAGATGAACGGAGCGACCGAAGACATTTGAAAGGCCCGGACCGAGCAAAACGGATGAAACGAGAACACCGGAGCAGGTAATACGCACCTGTCGGGCCGCTTGATGTGCTGCAAGTCGTGATCGTGGCCGTTGATGTACAAGGGCGCGTTGTACTCCTGGAGGCGATTAACAGAGAGTCGATCAACGAAGCGATGGGCGAGACATACATTGGCGCGTTTCGTCAGATGCGCCACGGTCTTGTTGGCACATCTTGCTTGAGCATGGTTGTCAAACCATGTCGACACCCTTTTCAATGACGCTTGCTTTCTTCTCCCTCCGGTTCTGCTTTTATTCTTGTTGGTTCACTCTTTTCTGCGACGGACAGGTCGAGCAAGCCGCGGACTGCAAAACCGAACCGTCTAGCGGCCAGGGGCTACTACGCGTCCAAAAGTGGTCAAACGGCCCGGAGTCGTCAAGAAGGTGCAGGCGTTATCAGCCCACCTCGAGAACGGGCAGTATTCGCTGCACGAGCTCGACGGTGTCCCCGTGCTCCCCAAAGCTTCGCATCGTGTGGTGCCCAATCACAATCTTCCACGTGTCGGTCGAGCTGGCCAGCCAACTCCGCAACTCCTGCGGTGCAAAGCGCGATAACAATATTGGCCCCCGTCATTCCGGAACGCAGTCACAGCAACTCGTGTCCAGACGATGAGTGGTCAAGTTTATTATTGACAGAGCCAGAGCGGTGACTATCGGAAACGAAGAACAACATGCGGAGCGGACTGCTCGAGTCACGAGATATTTACTGCGCTCGAGCAAACGCAGGGTCCCGCCTGGAGTCCAACGCGTTGAATAGGTTTATATGGATCAGCCTTTGTCAGTCCCTTCTGCAAGTCGTGGCTGCAGCCTCAAGAGGTTGAATTGCAGCACAGAATGCAAAACCTGGACATAAAATGGAGGTAATACTTGTCCTCGCTTCTCTTGCAAGGACCCCGGAAGAAGCTCGCAATGTCAAACCTCAGTTGGCCACCCTCCCAATCGGCCACGAAATCTTAGACTCCTTCCTCACAACAGCTCAAAAACCGGAGCCTAAGTACAAAAATGTAGCCGAGGAGGAGCTTTCTTGCTACCAGAGAGACAAACCGGGGGGCCTGCGGAGCTCACCTCGACCTGGCTGTTTAATTGTTGGTCCCAGTCGGGGTAATGGGGAAGATCCGAGAAGTCAAACACAGAGTCGTCGTGGTATTTCTCCACGAAGGGGGACGTGTCGATGAAGAACAGGGTCACGAAGTCCTTGCAATCTGCGAGCAATTTCGAGAACCTTGCCTTTTGAGATTATGTAGCATACAGGATCGGGGGAAGGGTGGACAGAATGTTGAGCCTTTCGACTTTACGTCTGAGGACACCCTAACGGAAATTGGGTGGAGATGTTCGTTCTGTGAGTCCGAGTTGCCATGTGCTTTGCTGCAAGTAAGATACGGAAAGAAAGCGTTGTGAGAAAGTAAATTTTTATGGCGGAACGACGGGAGCTGTCCGCAGACAGCACAAACCCGCGGACAAAGCAGACTCAGCAAAGGGCCGCAAGCCGACTTCGCCGCCACTGCCTCAACTTTCGCAAAGCGTCCCGGGTTATTCTGCACAATCATTTCAAGTTGCTGAGAGTCTGATAAATTCCGTGGAAGGAAAACATGGACCCCATTACACATTCTAATTCCACGCCGCTTGCTAGTTTGTGCATGGCGCACCTCACTCTGCTGCTTACATCCAAGGTTACCAATCCTTTCCACCTTTCCGGAGACGCAATCCAAGGTCTGTATACCGCACCCCCCCCTTAGTGCAATCCAAGCAATCACTTACCAGAAAACGTAACGGTAAAAATACCCTGAACTTTTAAGAAAGTCAAATCTTCACCTGCGCGCCCCTACAGTACCAAGCGATATAGGGTTCCAGACCTGAAAATTGGAACCCACCTCCTCGTTACTTGGATTCTGATGTTGCAGGCTCACAGCGGTCGGGGCAAAAGTTCGCAACTGCGGGACTCACCTTTGGATTGCGCGCACAGCGGCTGGCGCACGCGGAAGGAGCGGTCGCAAAACCAGCGGGGGTCGCGCTCCGTCAGCTGGCGGCTCAGCTGGGCCGAGACGTTGCCCGCGTAGTCGTGGTTGCCTAAAACTGCGGAGTACGGGTCAAACTTCGGTTATGATGTGCTGGTCACAGTCGAAACCCGTTTCCGGTATGCTGGTCGCGAAGCCGCCACCATGGTGAAAATGTTACCCGATAGGCAGAGTGCGAAGAGCCGCCAATGCCCAACACTGCTCGAAAGATTGCAACGAACTTTTCTTGCAAAATGCATCGCTTCTATGGACCATTGCTTCTTAGAAACGTGCCTTCAAACAGACACGAGCAAACTTTGGTCTGCAACACAAAGCGACCGTTCCCAGTTTCTCTCGCCTCTTTCTGTTCGTTTGCCTACGAATCTTGTCCTCCCTCTCAAAGCTGTCTCACCTGCGTACCACTGTTTTTGGAGGCCGGGAGAGGAGTAGATGTCGGTGAAGGACTGCGTAAACTTCGGATCGCTGTCGTTTTTCAGCCCCAGCTCGTAGAAGTTGTCCCCCGACGAGACCACGAAAGCAATCTCCTTCTCGTCCGCAATGCGCCCCATCTGCAAGACAACAATTCCTCAAGATCCCACGACATTACACCGACCTCAGGCCTTTTGCACACTCGTTGGTGGTACGGTCAGAGCATTCTCGAACGCAAACAACTCAAGGTGCCGCACAGACAGCAGGCACGGAATATGCACCTATTACAAAAGGCCTGTCTTAATTACAATCTGAGCTGGGCCACTGGGCCCATATCGAGGAACCAGTCTGGGCTTGTGCAGGGAATTGTCCACTAGTTGCTAATTCCGATTCTGGCAAGAGACCCTAGCTTCCTGTAGCGGCATCAAAGACACCAGTACAGAAACCACCTTAACAACCTGAACACAGTTGAGGCAACTGAATATAATTGAGGCGAAATTCTGAGACAACCCAGTTACGGCAAGCCTACTGATACCCAACGCTACACAGAAAACATCATTACAGCATATCAGTGACAAGAAAACAGCGAACGAAAGCGAGCCGCACCTGTTTTGCCACCTCCGACTGGTTGTACATTCCGTTGCGGCCCCAGTCCCCAACCACCAGGAAGCTCACGCGAGGGGCGCGCTTCTCCCCCCGCCCGAGCGACGCCCAGAGCGCCACCGTGATGACGAGCACCGCCAGACTGATTAGGACCACTGCACTTGTGCAGGGATCGTCGAGATCGCGCGCGCGGTCTACCACCTTTTTGGCCTGGAGGGTGAAGGGGCAAGCACAGAATTTAGAAACTTATGAAGCATCGGAGAAGTTCGTCATAATGGCCTGCATTTGGCTTACATGATGATCCAGGTTGGAAAACTAGGTCAACTACCAGCACAGGGTGGAAAATAATCAAACGAGAAAAAGAGAGATGAACTGATTGGAAATGGAAAGGGGAAAGGGGTGGGTCCTGAGGTTTGGGGCCATGCCCATGGGCTTCTCTCAGGATGTCAGCGACGTTTATGAGTGCAGATGCTCATCAGACGTAACCTGTACTGCAGTTTATGTGTGAGAATTTCAAGGCGAGCTGCCGTGTGTGGGGCAATTTATTGAGAAGACTCAGAACATTGGCTGGCAGACAGAGAAGTAAGAGACCAAGTAAAGAGCACCAAGCAATCCAAGCAAGGTAGCATGAGGGGCGTCAGCAGAGCTGAGAAGTCCTCGGAAAGTAAGCTTTCCCTCCAGCAACCTCTCCTCTTTCCTCACAGAATTCAGGTCGTCAGAAGAACCCAGCTTCGATAGCACAGTGGCTGGGGCTTTTGGGTGAGATGGAGCTCGTAGTATGAAGACTCTCTCGGGACATGAGGGCAAGTAATGTAGGCATATCCTTGCAAAAAGGAGTTGTGCAAGCTGCCGTTGCCTGTGCAGACTGACTCGCAGAGTGACAGAAGTTGTTATGAACGAATCGGAGCTCAATTTCCGTGTCCTTAGTAAACACTGTCTCCACCTTCTGATCCACAACTGGTTTGATGCATTGGAAGCAGAGCTAGTGTACCACCCTGATCCGAGCAGCGTCAGAGCAATCATGGCGCATACGCAGCCACCAGAATGTATTTTGTGGCTACAAGGTGTTCCACACTGTCACGGACGATAGCCGCCCAAAGCTAACAACAACCTGAGGGGAATGCCCGCTGTCAAACAGAGAAGTCGACCAAGAATTCTCCGGGAAGCTCTGACAGCGACCTCTGCAAACATAAACAAGCTGAAAGAACCGAACCTGCTCTACATTCGTGCGTTCTGCACAAACAAACAGACCTCTGCATTCCCACCTGGTCTATTCCATCAAACGTCGACGCAGGAGCACCACGCGTAAAGCCCCCCGCCTCCTCGTCCCGCAATCCCTTCTCCTCATCATCTGAATCTGAATTGCGGCCGAGCGCCTCAAAGCGCACCGACTGCATGTTGACATTTGCCTTGGTCTTGGACTTGGGCTTTGTGCGGGCCTTTGGGGGCTTGCGTCTGGGGGAGCGCGGGCGGGGCCGCACCAGATCGACGTCATCCTCGTGCAGCATCATGCTGGTGGGGGCCATCCCGAGGTGGAGGAGAAGCGGCCCTTCTCACTCTCGGTTTCAGCTGCAAGCTTCAGTTGCTGCCACATAAGAATTTTACAGAATCTTACGAAATTTTCAAATGTGGCCAGAGTGAAGGTGGTGTTGCTGCGGACGGTCGCCTCCGCCGAGGGGTCGGCCCAGGGCGCCGGAACAGCGCGAAGTTTCCCCAAACACTGCTCTAACCGCGATTCTTGACCGGTATCGCAAGCTCCTGCAGGCTGCAGAGCGTCGATTCTTGAACGGTCATTGCACCCCGTCGTCTTAGAGCTCCGACACGATTACCTGCGTACTCACGTACGTACACGACCAGATAACTTCGTCACCCTGTCAGTGTCAATAAGTTTCAATTTGAGCGGGCCTGTGTTACAATCTGAAGATGGAGCAATATTACAATACTATATCGGCGCGCGCCGTCCGGCGCCGTACTCTGAACGGCAACGCTGTGATGGAAGTACGTTGTATTCATCCTTCTCACATAGTGTCCTGTCTATACATGATGGCCAGCCTTTCAGCCTCGTCTCGTTGTCTGACTCAGTACTAGCAGCTCGGCGGAATACTGGCTTCCAAAGCTTCCAACTTGCAGAGCTTTCGAGAGACGCAAGCGACTTAGCATGACTTTCAAGCTCGTTCGCAGAGTGAAGGAGCTCCAACGCAACGTAAAGCGTTTGTCTCTCTTGAGTAGTGTGACTTGTTTGCGAGCCCATCTTTCGTGATCAGGCGTGCATTCAACCCGGTGCAAAGCACACAGTGCGGTCCGCTTGAGACAGGACATCTTGACTTTTAGACTCTCAATGCAGAAACAACGGACAGATCGAACCTTCGGGTGTCAAACAATGCCGTCTGATTATTCTCTGGTAAAAAGATTGGACTGAAGGATGCACCTGATTCTCAATAGCGCCCAGCGGAAGCGCAAAGTTTTGCGGGCCAGGATAGGATGCATTAAATTTGTTAAATTAAGCTCAGGAACAACGAGCCCGCTCGATTGGTTGGTTGCATCCCAGAGCATTAACATGTGTCCTTTCAGCTCCGCTTTGATCGACGAAAAGGACGGCCTCCCGGCAGGCTCCCCTTTTACATAGACACCAATATGCAGATTGCCTTTCTTGATCAATATCGAAGGAGGCTTAGGACGGAAGAACTCAAAATGAATGAACGACGGCTCTGGAAAATGTTGTCCAATTTGCCAATCAGGCGGCAAAGTGGGGTCTTGCTGTGCACGTCATCCGGAGAGAATGACCAAAGCTGACCTTGAGAATCGGAAGAGTCGATTGCCAGAGAGAGTCAGGCACGTCAAGAATGTAAGTCTGAGGGTGCAACGTGGGGAATCGGTTGTGCTTTTTGATGATGAACGCCTGACGACTCGCTGCGATCATTGTCTGTTTCCACAGCCCGGAACCCACACAGATTCAGCGCAGGTCCATCCTTGAGTCAAGACGGCATACACGAAGGACAGTTAATCACTGCTTACATGAAACATGGTAGCCAATCGGCGCTGTTTTTGTCAGTCCAAGCAAACCCAATGGTTGCTAGTCCAACTTCAGTATCAAAGTCCGGCATGAAAAGCTCGCAACAGAGAAGCATAAGATTTTGAAAGCTTCGAGATATCCTGACAGCTTCGAGATTTCTTGAACACGTCTGCACATTTTTGCGAACGTCAACCTTACTTCTGCGGTGCTTGTATGCTTCCATCTTTCCGTTGCCGGCAAAATGGAGAAAACGCATCGAGAAACCAGTTCTCCTTAGTCTCGTCGCCTCTTGACACTGAAGTCAGAAAGCTTGAGTGTGAGAGGACCTAGCCTTTTCATCTCAAACGAAGGGAGCACTCAATCCTAAACCTATATGTGTACAACTAATTCATTGTCCCGCCACATTTTCAGGTTTAGGAAAGCCGTCAGCAGGGTGCCCAACGTGATGAGCAACATTAAGAGAGTCGGTCGAATAGCGAAGAGATCCGCCAGCGATCAGAAGCTCATAATCTTTCCGTCCGGTCGGCCGCCCAATATAATCTTAGAGTCGGCTTTGCAGTTTCATCCCAGCCGTGCAAAGTAGTGAGACATAGTGACGAAAGTGCGTCATCACAGACAGCAAACGAGCAGAACGATCGACGTGGCTTGTCAGAGGCTGTCTAAGGCCCGGAGAACACATACGAAACGTGCGAAAGCATCAGCGGCGGAGAGGCAAACAACTCACGTCTTTTTCGTTCATTCATGCTACGACGGACGTGACAACAACGAAAGGGGCTTCAATACAACTCACTTCGAAGCATCAAACTTTCAAGCTATGGGGAGCGAAGAGGGTTGCCTTTTAGTTGGAGGGCGACTAATCTGCTTTCCAGCAGATTTACGAGGGACAATCTGCGGGCGAGAAAGCTTAGAAAGTTGAACGCAAACGATGAACCCGAGAGCATTGGACTGTGTTATGTTGGTGTCCAGTCCGATCCAGAGAGGTCTGCCGCAGTGATTTCTGAAAATAACCGAACTCGCCCAGAGAAGCTTTGAGTTTCTTGTTGATTCGGGGATGGCGGAATAGTTTCCAGGGCAGTACTATAGGCAACTGAGCAGCTTCTTCTCTCGAGCTTATGTCATCTTTCAAGCATGTTTCGTGAAAGGAATGTTGACAGGGAGAAGGTCTACACACAGTCACTCTTCATATTGGAAAGAGACAACGCAGCGTTCCACTCTAGCATCTTTCACTGGCAAACAATGGTTGAAGCTTCGAAACAGAGTATGCGCCAAGCTCGATGATCTGGACGCCCACTCCTTCGCGGAATGCTTGTTTCTTGAAGCGACACGTGGAACGTGGGCTGTTCAGACCACAAGTCAGAAGCTGCTTTTGCTACGCTCTCGGTGCTTCGAAAAGCTGCGAACCTATCGAACTGGCATCAAAATCCTAACCAAGGATCTTTGACAGCGCGGACTGTGGAATCCTCAGCCACAATCCCCCTTGACCGAAACGCTCGACGTGAGGCAGCTGTCCACCGAGAGGGGATTGACACAACTTCAAGCCGTAAGGGACCCAATCATAGCAATCAGTGTTCGAACAGATCCGCTGCTACGGTGACGTTGGAGTTTGGCGCCACAAGCTCAATGATGAGACGAAGGACGTTCATTGTGAGCCAGGATATGACTTTGCCAGTTGAAAGAAGAAACTGGGTCACTAACAATCACTTCAAGGTGTTTCATTTTGAATCGTTGGTTGGACAACCTGAAGCCAATTGGCTGTGCACACTTTGCAGTACTGATCTTCGACCCGGACCTGTATTCACACAATCCGGACATCAGATCTTCAGTTGCATTCCGAGCTCGAGATATAGCTGATCAGTGTATGCTGGGTCGTTGGACCATTCTATTCTTGCTGGATCACGCCGTGCCTTGTTCCCACAGTGGCATGCAGAGCAGGTAAATCAGGGACCAGCGCTGCGGGCGTCAGCTAGTGGCAACCCTCGAGATATAAGCTGGCAAGTGTCAGCTTGCGCATATGAGTCTGAGGCGTACGAGCTGCTCTCAATCATTTGCGACATTAGTGCAGCTTGACAGCGCGCCAGCCTGAGAGAATTGAAGGCCCGCTTGCCACAATGCAGCGTACTGTGCACAGATTTTACAGAGTACTCAGTTAAGCAGTGGCCGGGACTTCATTTTGAGCTGGCACCTTGCAGAATTGAACATTATACGTAGCATGCTGCGCAGCGACGTCATTGCACGTGGTCCTTCCAGCTGGCCGCAATTGACTGTGTTGACCCAACCATAATTCTGAGATTTGGATCTGACCTCACGGGCCTTCATCTGGAGGTGTGCACGGTGTACCTAGCCGCTATAGCGCTAGCGCTACCTAGCGCTCCTAGTACGAGTATGCACCCCCTGTGCACCTGTCCAATCTGGATTCTGCGGTACGGTAGACCGCAGTACGGCCAGCCGCAGACCGTACACGCTTAAATCACTTCGCTGAGCCTGGCCGGCCCCCCGCGCGCAAAATTCTGCGTCGACGGGCTTTGTTCGTCAAAATCAAGTTGGTAACTCTTCATGCCAGCTTTGAGCCGTCCGATCTTGAGACTCGGCTTATCGTAGCGTTGATCAAACAGCCATCTGAAAGGTGTACCTGTGGTTTTATCGAGTGTACCTCTCAGAGCACGGTACTGTCCAGTTTCAACAGAATGCTAATGTTGGGTTTTGCTTGCGTACAGCACACATCTACTAGCGCTAGCTTTCAATCACTCTTCAGATATGGAACTAGTTCATGCAAGGGCTTTAGTACCTACAAGTCTGTGCACCATACCTACTCTGACCCTCCGGCTGAACGAAGGGTGCATGTTCTCTACAAACATGTACATTGCAAGCTGTACACTCCTTGCAGAATGCAACGATTCTCAACACTTGGCCCAGAGGTGCAAGCTGAGTGCGGGCCGGGCTGGAGAGCCTGTATACATCCAGTCGTCATCTCCTGCAGTGCGCATGCATTGCACGCTTAACGGTCAGAAGATCTCTGGGGTCTGACGCTCACGCAGTCTGCACTTTTCATATAGTATCAGAATAATTGGCTTGCTGAGTCCGATACTGGGGCAGCCTTTCGACTTCCAGGGGCGAATCAGGAGACTGCTCGACCGCATTTGCAATTTGCAGAGCGAATAAAGCTTCCCTCACGATCAAGGAGGAGATTCAATCCTTCTCAGCAGACGGCATTGCGCGTTGGTATAACACAGAGCAGAGATCTGAGAAACACAAAACACAAGAGCATCTGCGCAAGAAGAAGGCAGATCAGCAAAAGGCAGAAGCAGAAGCGCTTTACAAAACATCGCCGCAGCATTCAGAAAAAAGACTGCATTGCGCTTTCGTTTTCAGGCCGCATGAGAGGCGCGACCCACCCCAGGCCAGACTCTCCCCCCCGCGGGGCCCCCGCCAGGGATTGCTGGTCGCCTTCTCCCCGCCTCTCCGCGCCCCACCCCCGCCTCCAAAACGGCGACCGCCATGGCGCTGCTTCCGGCCAGTTCTCCGGACGAGCGGCTGCTGGCGAATCTGGACAGCAATGACGCGGACACGCCGTCGGACGCGCCCCAAACGTCCGGCAAGAAGGGCGAAGAGTCTGTGATCACGCAATTCATGGGCAATGCAAAGGGTGCAGGGTCTACGAGCGTGGCGCAGATCCGCGCCAAGATGGGGGAACTAGCGGCGGCGGGGCAGGGCGACGGGGCCCAGTCGCGCATCTGGAAGTCGATACTGTGCTGCCTGCGGCCGCAGGGGGATGAGGAACTGAAGAAGGCAGGGCTGAAGAAGGAGGGCGCGGCGGAGACCAGGCCGGAACCGAGGCGGGTGATGCATCCAGTCCGGTGAGTGTTCAGAGGGTGGAGTGGATGCAAGAGACTGATGAGGAGAGAAAGCAAGGGGTCATTTGACAAGGCAAGTATGGCAAAGATTACATAGAACAGAAGGGTTGGTCAATGTATTGGGTTTGCCCTGCCTTTGTTCAGATGCGTGAGTGGGCGGGCACATCTAGACTGACGGATGATGCGCATGTCTGGTACGGAGGGCAGAGGCCGGATGCCAAAAGGGTTTTCGATCCAGAGATTCTGGGGAATTGACGTCTCCAGAGGGATGTGTCTTTGATCAAAGGGCAAGGATTTGCGTGACCATATTGCAGAAAAGCATGGCAGATGAGGGTTTTGGGGTTGGAACCAAGCACGATGAAAGGGACAATGCTTCCCATTTTGGTGCAGCGATTGGATAGAGAAGCATCAGCACAGACTCTCCCATCAATATCAACATCTGTTGGATCTGACGGCCCCATATCCTGCCACCCAAACCCCCTCAATCTGCAAAGGGTGCGCCAGACACCCAAGCGCAAAATTCTCACTGCATGCAATTTCGCAGACAGGTTTTTGGGAACACGAAGAATTAGTCAGGAGGGATTACAATTGTGCCATGCAAATCCAAATTCACGCAGGATCTCCCATGGCCTATCACTGCAGCAAGAACCCATTTGCATCTCCAGTTCCAAAACCCTTGTTGGCCATTGCAATGTAGAGAATCCTGGACTACTGGTACATGCAACACAGTAGGAGTCTAGCGTACAAAAGGAGGACCACGAAAAGCCTTGACTGGATTCTCCATATTCTCCTGCTGGCACACATTACACTTGACTCCGGATTGTGGTCTCAAATCACGGCTAGCTTTTCCCTGCAAGCCTTTTTTCCGTCGCTTGCAAAAGATGCCCCCTGAAGTGCCAATTTATTTGGCAAGTTGATTCATCCGCTCTCCCCCTGCACACATCCTGCATAATTCACTCACTCACTTTTTCGACCATCCTGCGAAGCTTGGACCTTCTCTCTCACCACTCACCTTTGTCGTTCATCCACGGTAGCGCACGCCCGCAATCGTTTATCACTGCATCCAGCGACCGAAAACTTGTCCTACTCAGATCTCACCTGAACCTGCAATCTCCAAAAGCAGCCTGCCAGTGCTGCACGTGGTGCCGCAGAAAGACACCCTCAAGCCAATCCCCACGGATCGCCTCACGAAATTACATATTCCCCCCTGCTTATACATGACCCGATAAAGATAACGAAGTTCCCCAACTCACGACCGCTCTCTTTATTCCGCGCAGGCGGCCGGTGCGGTGCGTGCTGCCGGCGGTGAGCAAGGCGGACGGCGGCAAGAAGTGCCTGGTGCTGGACCTGGACGAGACGCTGGTGCACAGCAGCTTCAAGCCGGTGGCCAACCCGGACTTCATCATCCCCGTCGAGATCGACAACCGCATCACCGACGTGTACGTCCTCAAGCGGCCCTTCGTCGACGAGTTCCTGCAGGCCATGGGGCAGAAGTACGAGGTGAGGGGAACGGAAGGAAGCGGAAACGGAAACGGAAAAGGAAAAGAATGTTCTCTTTCAGGAGACCCAAAACGCGCGATAATGTCTACTTAGAGAGGGATGGATGAAAGCAGGGAGATGCGTGGCGAGAGAAGAAACTGCAAGGAAGAGACCGGGAGAGTCAAAATGAAAATCGCTCTGCTGATGCTCGTCGTGGGAGTACTTCGTAGCTTCCGCAACGGTTTTGAAAGGTACTTTGACGCCTTTCAGTGCTCCACAGAGAACAAGCCGTACAAAATTAGCTGCGAGACCCGACGCGAGACCCCATCAGAACAATGCTCGGACTCGGAACATCCACTGCAGGAGGCAAAGCAAACCTTGCTCTAAGCACGATACGAAAGCACTGATCTTGACGAATACGCACTTAGTGCAATTCGCGATGACGTCAGGCAGCACTCTCCCTCTTCAGGATCCCTTCAAGATACATTCTGGCGCCCGTTCGATTTCTCACTCCTCCCATGTATCTCCGGTGCAGGTGGTGGTGTTCACGGCCAGCCTGAGCAAGTACGCGGACCCTCTGCTCGACCTGCTGGACCCGCACCAGACCATCCGGCACCGCCTCTTCCGGGAGCACTGCTGCCCGTACGAGGGCAACTACGTCAAGGTGCGCCACACCACCCCCTCTGACGTCAGCATGACGCGCGCGCCGCTCGCTCTCTCGGGCGGACGACGAGCAATCCCACTCCTTGCTCTTGGAATCAGATTTTCAAGTTCTATATATAAGACTTCGTGGAAGAACAACGTTTCACACAGCGTGTGGGCGTTGGAATTTCCCCTCGAATTCCCACTTTTACACATCATCTCCTCCCTGCTGACGTCATCCTGCGTGCACGTGGCAGGACCTGAGCGTGTTGGGCCGCGACTTGGCCTCCACGATCATCATCGACAACTCGCCCCACAGCTACATCTTCCACCCGGAGAACGCGGTCGCCATCAGCACCTTCATCGACGAGCCGGAGGACTGCGTGAGTATTCTCGCGCCTCTAGTTGCTTCTCTTCGAATCTTATGATGGGCTAAGAGAGGAGCTTCGTGATGACTACATAACTTTGACAGCCAAAGGGGCCGGTTTTGAGACAAGGGAGGGCAGGCAACTGCGCTGTGAGGTCAAGAGCGGAGCGTCCAGAATGTAGATGAGGGATCGGAGTAGACCGCTTGAAAACCCATGGAGCTCTGCACAGACAAACGAGCTCCGTAGAAGCTTATCAACAGGTCAATTTCAGTGATAGAACCACCGCAATTTGAATGGACAGTGCTCGATAGCGCGCTGTGCCTTCGTGACCCAGAAGATTCACGTTCTGCACAAGTCGACTGTCCGGAAGAAGACTTTTCTGCCGACGCTTCTTTGGGTTCACTCTTTTCGGAAGAAGACGGATCGCGCAGACTCTGATGGGCTTTCTCCAACGGTTCCGATCTGAAGCCTCTTCTTCTCTAACCCTGGCTGCCTTCCTTCTCAGGAACTGATGGAGCTGATTCCCTACCTGAACGCGGTTGCTGACGTCGACGACGTGCGACTAGTCCTCGCGGGCGCCCAGTAGGGGCACCGCCCAAAAGACGCTGGCGTGTTGCGAACAGGGGGGCGTATTGGCACCTGAATCCACCCCACCGGAACGGAGGGGGGGTGTCGATATGATGTAGCGTCCGGGGGGCGGGCGTCTCAGTGGACGATGTGGTTGATAGCGGGTTTGATCTAAACCAGAGCGAGCTATGAACCACTGAGCGGGGTTGCCAACTGCTTTCATAACCAATAAAAACCGACGGACTGGGTTAAAAGGGGCGCGCTTATACATACAGATCAGAGCCGGGGGCGGGGGGATCCCCCGGCCGAGGCACACACACTGTACACAGTCAGACTGCTAGAGCACAGAGAGGATGATGCGGCGCATTTAGGCTAGGAGCGTAGGGCTAGGATGCAGAGTTGCTAGAGTAGATGCCATGAGGTAGATGCGGAGACGTTCTAGTTTGCTTTGCCTTTTGAGCTTACGACGCGAATGTTCCAACTAGAGGTTCGCTTACAACGCGAATGTTCCAAGTAGCTGAGGTTCTTTCAATGGCACATTGCCTCTTGTCGAAACGACGACTCTGGATAAAAATAACTAAGCGCTCGAGGAGCGCCTTTCTGCCAATCAATCGGTCACATGAAACGGAGTGAACGGTGCAAATGGGATCTGACTTCAACGCCTATCATCACAGCCTGCTCTACGCGCCAAAATGACTTTTGACCCGCGAGGGCATACTACATGGCGCCGAGCACACAGTGAATCTTAATAGCGGATTTAAGCAGAAAAGTGCATCTGAAATTTACTGCAGTCCCTGCGTTGGACGTACGTCGTGCATGTTCAGTTACCCTTTCATGACCTCCCCAACGTCATATCCGTTTCCCATGAGTTTAATGATCCAACTAAGCAACGAACCCACACCATGGTAAAGTCGCCCCATTCCCACACAAGGTCGATGCAACCCTTGGGCAGGCTCGAGGCTTTGCTCAACCGCTTGTCTCGTAAGAACCTGCGATGAGAAAAGCAATCTGCAGAATGCTGTTTCCTTCTCGTCCCTTTGCCTCGGCTTCCAGCACGTTTCCCTCATGCTTGTTCATGATTGCTCGCGGGCGCAGCTTCGCAGCCAAGTACCTACAACTCTTAAAGTGGGTCATTCAGCTTTCCGCAGTCCATCGGGTCATCATTTGAAACGTTTTCTCCTCATCATATCCATATATATAAGACGTTGACCTCGCACATCATCATAGCTGAATAGTAGCTCTCTTCAAATCGTATTACAAACAAAGGAAATTGGGGAAGAAACAGTGTGATTGATTGAGCCGTCAAACTAGAGCCATCGCAAGGCATAAACCTTTGAGCCTGCCCAGAAAGCTCGTTGATCATTCTCGTGGTTGTCGTTCATGTGCTTCAAATCTGTCAGGAGTATCTCTTTCTTCTGTGGTAAGATTGCTTTACCATGTTGCTTTACTATGATTCTTAGTGGTTGATTATTAAAGCGGCCGGCAATACCAGAGTCACTCCCACGTATGAGTCTTGATCATCTGGCGCGTCTTCGAAGCATCTGAAGCTGGTTCAATGCAATATCTAGTGTTTTAATGCTTCAGTGGAAGTTCGTACGCGTACGGGCCAATTAAATGTCCCGGCTCCTCCGACCCGAAACTCAGATATGCACTATAGCGGTAGACGGCTCAGCATTTGGACATATGGGCGAATGAAGTTCCACGTAGCTACCACAGCTACCTCAGCACGATTGCAACTTTGTGTTGCTGCGTGCTGGCGCATGCCTGGAGGCGAATGTTCAATGACGGCCTGCTTTCTCTCGAAACCATATTCGGCCGTCGATTGTACAATGTATAGATCGAGGGCTCAAGAACAATCTGGCACATCCAACCGTCCGATCGACCGTCCTCATCTGCTGAAGATCTGTCATGCCTACATAGACATGGACCCGCTCTAGTTCTATGATATGAGGCTGTCTCTTCCCCGGCGGGTTGCAGGCAGGAGGATCCCCATGGTGGACGCCTTCTTTCTCTCCTTGAAGCTGAAGCTCAAAGGCGTGGTCAACCTTGCATGAGGGGGACGTTTGTGGGAGTTCTGACGTTAGTGAGGGGTTCAGCAAGCTTCTCGTCTGCCATCTTCAGCCCTGCAGCATTGCTGGTTGCTGTTTGAGCTGTTTGAGCCGTTTTGCGAACCAGATTCAGGCCGGTACCAATGAGATGGTGACTTGAGAGATTCTGAGCACATGCGAGTGTCATTCTAGGGTTGGAAAGCGGGCCAGAGACACCATGGCTCCCAAGTTCTATGAGGCCCCCAAGTTTTACCCGACGCATCGGGACATGGCAGGGCCCTTTGAGAAGTACATTGAGAGCATCGAGGATGAGCTGGCAGAGTTCGGGCTGGGGATCATCATCCCTCCCCGCGGTTGGAAACCAACATCAGCAAAGTATGAGACCATGAACTTTGACGTCCCCAAGCCGATTCGGCAGCACGTGACGGGCAGCAAGGGCATCTACCAGTCTGTGCATGTAGAGCAAAAGGGCATCAGCCTGCAGGACTTCAAGGCCATGGCGAACTTGAAGGAGAACATGGCGCCCATTCAGGTGGATACTCTTGGGCCGGAGCATGACGACCTGGAGCGGCATTTCTGGAAGAACGTGACGCACTTCCCGCCGCTGTATGGCGCGGACTCGGAGGGGTCCCTCTTTGACCCTGACCACAAGGTGGGGGACCCGGGGTACTGCTGTTTGGTCAGCAGTCTGCTGTCAGTTGCAGGCTTTCATGGAATTGTTACTTTTTGAACTTCTTGAAATAAGCTCATTGGCGTGGAAACTCCGAACTGGTCGATAATATCAGGATATCAGGCATTTGTGTTTCACCATGAGGCACAGGTTTGCTGAAACTGCATGTCGGCAAAGTGCTTTTGTACCTGTTGGCATAACGAATTTGGATGAGCTTCTTAGAAATATTAAGTTTTGGGCAGGGATCTTAATTGCCTCATCTTTTGGAAACCTGCAAGGTGACAGGAATTAAGGCGACATGTCAATCGTCAAGTAGACCATCTGTGGGCAGAATCATAGAAGTCTTTTCTGTAGTATTTACGCAGGGCGGCAGGATGAGGGCAACTTGTCACTTGCCCGAATTACCTCCTCTTTGTAAGGGCTCATGACGCCACCTTCTGAGTCGCGTCTCATGCAACTACTGCAAGACAAGCTCAGCGTCTGGTCACTTGCACAGGTCGCTTCCAGGCACATGATAGCTGTGTGCGGTTTGAGGCAGGCCTGCTAGTGTTTTGAGCCAACTTTGTTGACACCAGCTGCTGCAAATTTGCAACTTGCCCCTGGGAATATTTGCTGTCCGGTCAGAAAAAGCGAGGTCTTTCAAGTCCTTGTCTCAACATGGCTCTGTTGCGCCACCTCCCGTATTTTTACGTTGATCTTTCCTAATTTGGTTTTCATCCCTCCTTTGCAACGTGTAATTTGTGTCTGACGCCTCAGTTCATCCACTGATGTGCAGGGGTGGAACATCCGGGACTTGGACACCTGCCTGAGCAAAACCCTGAAAGAGCATGGCGCCTCCCTGCCAGGGGTCACCACCCCCTACCTGTATGTTGGCATGTGGCGCAGCATGTTCGCCTGGTGAGTTCCACCCCAAGAATAGATTGCAAGGGCGTCAGAAAAGTGCTGCCTTTGGTTGATCCTTTTTAGTTTCTTCCATCTGGGGTTGCAAGCATTGTGGAATTGTGCTCTTTTATGACACTGTACTTGGGCTGCCCCCTGGACCTGACTGAAATCTTGTTGCCTTTCTTCTCCTATCTACTGCTCTTTACTGCTGGCTGGGGAAAAACAAGGAATCCACACCGTTTATATTGTTCCCTACAATGATATCCTTGCAGGCACACCGAGGACGTCGACCTGTACAGTGTGAACTATCTCCATTTTGGCGAGCCAAAGTCGTGGTACGTTTCTTCTCGCCTCTAGCCTTCTCCTCGTTGACATGCTGGCATGAGTTTTGCTCTGGACCATTGCAGGAGTGGATTAACTGCAGTTAAACCAAGCACTTGAGCTCCTGTTTGCAAATCTCTAGGATTGTGCGCTTCTCGACATGTAGGTTTGGATTACTGAGGTCCTGAGTGTCTAGTCTTATCTTGTCTCTGGATCTCAGTGATCTCAGTGAGACTCAATAATAACCTCTCCCTTTCATGATGCTGCTCGATCTTAGGAACCTTCCATACTCATTAAAACCAGTGTAAGCCCAGTCTCCATTCATAAGAAGCCTCAGGAAGGGTATTCCCCACTCTCAAACCTGCCACTCCCTTTCTCCACAGGTATTGCATCCCCCCTGCCCTGAGGGGCCGCTTTGAGCGAGTGGTTGAGGGGCTGATGCCAGAGTTCCACCGCAACTGCCCCGAGTTTCTGAGGCACAAGGTACGCAAACTTCCTTCATTTCAGTCCCTTCTGCCACCTAGCGGGACTACCCCTCTATAAGGCTCTTGTTGCCATAAGGATGTTTGTTTGCGCCATCTCAGTGTCACCATGGAGACTGTATCGCATCTGGTGCATCATTCAGTTGCATCCCTACCTCAGATGCTGGCAAGTTTAATGTGTCTGGATTGCTCTGCAGTCTGGCTCTCATTGTTTATAGTCTGGATCTGACATTTGAAGACCGCTGTGGTGCAGGAGACGTTGGTGACCCCCTTCCTGATCCAGCAGCACAACATCCCCCTGGTCAAGGCTGTGCAGACGCCGGGCCAGTGGATCATCAACTTCCCCTGTGAGGCGCCACTTTGCACGTCTCTGCACTTCATCATAGAACCAACTCCCATGGCTTTAAGAACATGTTAAATTGAACCATATCTGGAATGTGCACGTTCTTTGGTGAAAAGACCATCCAAGAAGAAAGCTGAGCTGATAAGTTTTCCTGTGCGTTGGCAGCTGCGTACCACTCCGGGTTCAACCACGGGTTCAACTGCGCAGAGTCGACCAACTTTGCAACGCGCAGGTATGTCAAATGCTTGTCACGTCCCTCTGAGCCTTCTCCCACCTTGCTCCCTTTGTCCTGTCCTTGTTGAAGGAAGCCCACAATCGTTCGAGACATCTCGTTGCTGAAGACTTCTGTTCTGTTGTAGTTGATTGCTTCCGAGTCTTATAAGTGGTTGGGAGCTACACTTGACCAGGTAAACTGGTCAAAGTCTCGTTCAATTTGTAGACCAGGCGTCTCATTTCCACGAGCAGATGGGTGGAATATGGGGCCAAGGCCAAGGCCTGCAAGTGCTCAGGCGAGAGTGTCCGCATCGACATGCGCCTCTTTGGTGTGGAGCCCCCCCCGGTCAAAATCAAACCCGGCGCTCTTTTGCTGGCTCCCCCCCTCCCGCCCCCAGACCTGAGCGCAGCCACCCTCCCCCTGGTCGCCCAAGGAAAGATGGTGCGGCGCAAGGCCTTGCTGCCTGAGGGTACAACAGGCGTCTCACCCGAGAAAGCCGCCAAAGGAACGCCGAGCAAGGCCTCCTCGCCAGCGGGCCCAGGGTCGCCCCCCAAGAAACGGAAGCCGGCGGGGGAGGCCCCGAAGAGGTCACACAAGAAGCAGAAGGGGGTTCAGGGAACCCCAGTCGCGGCTCCAGCTGCGCCAGGTGGCGTTCTCCTCGCCCCGGGGTTGGAACCGCTGCCAGTGGTACCCCCGGCTAAGAAGCGCAAAGCGGCCGGGGGGTCGGTTAGCCCGCCGAAGAAGGGCGGGGCTGCGGCGGCGCTCGAGTTGGCGCCTTTGGCAGTGGGTGCGGAGCTGGCGCAAGCAGGGGGGGCGGGGGGCTCTCGGAAGGGGTCCAAGCCAAAGGCGTCCAAGGCCAAGAAAGGGACTGGGGCACAGGTCGCCCCTTCAGAAGCCCCTTCTTTGCCGGCAGCACCCAACGCGGTTGCGGCGTCGCCAGGGGGGCTGGCTAAGAAAGTCTCTCAACCGAAGCAGAAGGCCGAGAAAGGCGGGGCGAAGAAGCAGAAGGGGAAGCTGGCAACCGCACCTCTTGCTCCAGTGGCGCCAGTGATTGCTTTGGAGAACCCCCCTCTCACGGGCCTGGGCGGGGTGACTCCTCTCGCAGTGGCCGTGCAAGCACCGCCAAGACCGAAGAAGAGCAAAGGGAAGGGGGCCAAGAGTGCGGCTGTCGGAGGGAGTGCCGTTGCCAGCGCCGCTGTACATCCGGGGGCAGCAAAGGGCAAAGTGCAGCCGTTGGTTGCAGCGAGCGGGCCCGTACCAAAGACGCACGTGCCCAAGATCCTCAGGATCAAGTTCAACCCGCCCGCCGCTCTGGCCGTCGCACCAGGGGGTGCGGGGAGCAAGGGCGCCAAGGCACCCGGGTCGGCGGCCGAGACAAAGGTGCCAGC